CCCTCGGGCCTCGTAAGCCTTGGAAATGGCTAACCTAATCCACCTGCTGATGGTGGTAGGAGAGACTTTGGCGCCCCTGGAAGTGGGGTGGAAGGAGACAAAGAGGGCCTCCGACGGTCTGAAAGGGGCTGTGCTCTTGACATAGATGCACAAAGCCCTTCTCACATCCAGGAGGTGCCAGGACTTCTCCCTCTCAGTGGAAGGATTAGGGCAGAAGTCCGGGAGGATGACCTCCTGACCCCTGTGGAAGGGGGAATTGACCTTGGGCATGAAGGCCGGGTCCAGCCTGAGAACAACCCTGTTGCTGTGAAAGGTGCAGAGGTCAGCCCTAGAGGACAGAGCATTAAGCTCGGACACCCTTCTGGCAGAGGTGATTGCCATGAGGAAGATCACCTTGAGGGTGAGGAGTTGAAGGCTAACCTCCCTAAGGGTTCAAAGGGCGGCTCCAGGAGGGCCTGGAGAACCGTGGGCAGGTCCCAGGAGGGGAACCGGTGAACCACCGAAGGCTGATCTCTGCCCTCTCTACCACTAACTTTCTCACGACCCCGAGAACGAGAGGGAGTGGAGGGAAGGCGTACAGAAGGCCTGCCGGCCATCTGCAGCCCCCTGGGTTGGGAACCACGATATGAAACTTGGAACCTGAGCGTTCGACGGAGAGGCGAAGAGGTCCACCATCAGATGGCTGAACCTCTGGCAGATCTGTGTGAAGATGCTGGGATGAAGTTGCCACTCCCCGTGGTCTACCGTCTCCCTGCTGAGCCAGTCCGCCTGCTGGTTCTCCACTCTGGAGATGTGCTCCGCTCGAATCGACAGGAGGTTTCGCTCCGCCCAGCACCCCAGGTGCTTTGTCTCATTGCTTAGAGCCACAGAGTGGGTGCCTCCCTGCTTGTATATGTGGGCTTTTGCTGCCATGTTGTCCATCAGAACCAAGATGTGATTCCCAGAGACCGTCTGTTTGAACCAGCGAAGGGCTAGGTGGATTGGTCTGAGCTCCAGCCAGTTGATGTTCTTCCACAGGTCTGTTGGCGTCCACCAGCCCTGGGCCAACTGGGACTGCAGGTGAGCCCCCCAGCCAAACAGACTTGCATCCATGGTGAGGACCAGTCTGTCCGGTTCCCTGAAAAGAGATCCCTTGGCCAGGGAGGGAGACCTCCACCAGCAAAGGGAGAGGAGTACCTGAGGGGTCATTAAGACCTTGAAGCTTGCGTCGGTTGTCCTGTTCCTCTGGTGAGGGAGGAGGAACCACTGCAGGTCTCTGGTGTAAAGGCGAGCCCAGGGAACGATCCCGATGCAGGATATGAACTTCCTGAGGAGCCTGGAGAGGAGAGCTACGGGAACAGATCAAAGCCTGCGAATCTCCTAAACCAATTCAACGATGCTGTCCCTGCACTCCTGGGATAGAAAGACCTTATCCTCCACTGAATCAATGATGGTACCCAGATGTTCAAGCCTAGTGGAGGGGGCAAGGTGGCTCTTCTCGAAGTTAATCGAGAACCCAAGGGAAGTCAAGGTACTAATGGTGGTACTGAGGTTGCTCTCTGCGTGGAGAGCCGAGGGGGCTAGCACGAGGATGTCATCAAGGTAGCAGTGGAGGCAAACTGGGAAGGAACGGAGGTGGGCCGCAGCCGCGGCCATCACCTTAGTGAAGGTTCTGGGGGCAGAGGCCAACCCAAAGGGAAGGGCTCTGTACCTGTAGTGAGCACCCCGGTATGAGAACCTGCGGAATTTGCGGTGGTCAGGGGCGATCATAATGTGGAGATAGGCCTCCGTGAGATCAATGGAGGCTAGGAAGTCCCCCTGCCTGACCCCTTCTAAGATGGACTTGAGGGAAGCCATCTTAAATTTCCGGTAGACAATTCTAGAGTTCAAGAGTTTGAGATCTAGGATGGCCCTCTACCCCCCTGAACTCTTAGGGACTTGGAAAAGGTGAGAGTAGAACCCTGACCACTTCTTCCTCTCCGGAACTTGCTCGATGGCACTAATCTCCAGAAGGTGGAGAATTGCTTTGCGCATGAGGGCACGCTTGACTGGGTTCTTGGAGGAGGGAAAGGTGCGGAATCTACTGGGGGGTTGGGAACGGAACTCCAGATGGAGTCCCGATCTGATGGTTTGGAGGTCCCAGGCATCCGTGGTGATGCCCTCCCAGCGGTCTGCGAAGAAAGAGAGGCGACCGCTGATGGGGTGATCCGATCCTGAATCACTTACCCCTGCAAAAGGAACGCCCCCCCCTCAAAAGGGCCGCTTGCCGGCCTGCTGGGGCCTATACCTGTCCCTGGAGAACTGCCTGTCCCCCTGTCTGGAATATCTGGGAGCAGAGTACCTGTGTTGTTGGGTGTCCTGCTCTGGTGGTCGGTAGGAGGCTCTCCTGGGGTAAGGTGCCGCCCAGTGGTGTGCACGTCTGGACGCGGAGGGAAAGACCTTCCTCTTATTATTATTTTTACATTTTTTATTGAAGGTTATAAAAAAAGGCAAGATTTACAAAATACAAAAAAAAGAAAAAGAAATAAAACTCTTTACATATTTACAGTGCAGATGGCACTGTTCATCTCACATAGTTCATCTCACCTTGCCTAGTATAAGACTAGGTTACTAATTCCATGCAGGTNTT